AATCCTCAGCAAAAAGATCTGAGTGATGTTGATTTCTAAAAATGATACATACTGTGTTGAAGGATAATATTCAGTTTTCCTGCAGCCTTTGAAAATTGTGGCTATCCCACAATTGATTTTTTTATTAAGTCATATACACATAGATCACGTTTACATGTATGTGTATGTGGGCTACTGTGTTGATTTTTTAAATACAATTTGGAATGCTTACATCAAACTAATTAATCTAGCTTTTGCCTCATTTACTTGATTATTGTGTTGAGACATTTTATGTTCTATACTTGATAGATTAGACTTGTTTTGCAGTACTTTTGGGCTTTTCCCTGGTGGGATGAACAGAGAGGGTACTATACTGCTTCCCTGGCTGCTGGTGTGTGTGCATGTGTGTCTGACCTCTACATGGTGGCTAACTGCACAGGCATTACCCCTTCCTGGGAAACACGGAGGTAACCACTCCATGCAACGGACACTGGTAAATAAAGTGAGGTCATGGGGGTAGAGGGAAAGAAGGGGTACTCACTCACATCAACTGCATATAACCCGGACTGGGGATGGGGATGGGAATTGATTGAATATGGACATATAGAATCTTACTGGGATGATGATGGTGTTCTGAATTGGATAGTGATGACAGTTGCACAGCTCAGTATATTCACTAAAAAGCCTTGAATTGGGCACATACAAAGAGTGTTGAGAGAGCCGATGCTTCTCCATGATCTTCAGACTTATATTTAAGTCATCCTAAAACATTGTTTGAAAATGCTACCTCTTATCTGAGTCTCTTACCTCGGCTCAGATCAGACTTTCTGTGTGCTAGTACCCCACACTGAGGGTAAACACATTGCATTTATTCCCTCCAGCAAGTCTGTTTCTTCACTGAAGACTTATAACCCTTATGTCCATTCACTGCTAATGCCCTCTGGTCATGAGGCTGTTCTCCCGGGCACAGTGGGCAGAGATGGTGCTAATATTTGGTTTTAATCCACAAGAGAATGGCATTTTTTGACTGGCTTGGGGTGTTCTGTTCCAAAGTCTCTTGCAAGAGTTTAATGCATGAGTCTTAATTTTGTGATTCTAAAGCCACACCCCTTGTCAAGAATTGGCAGCCAGCAGAGCTTTCTCCTTGATAAGTGGTAGAGACTTTCTTTATAGCCCATTATATTTCTTGTGACAGTTTTAGTTTCTGATTTCCTGACACTGTAGGGGGTTTGGGTTCAAGTGTAGAAGGCTGGAAATTTTCCATTTTTCCCAACCTAATCTGCATTCCAACACTGGACGACACGGCTTATTACTTTCCAGTTGTGCCGTATTCTTTCTCACTCACTTTTTTCAGTCTTTCTCCTTCACAGAATATTGTCTCCTGTACTGGAAAAATGGCCTTTGACCTTCAACTATGAAAGTCATGTCCAGCCCATGGCTAGAATAGAGAACACAGCAGCCAGCCCTGAGCAGACTCAGTTGGATTGAATTAGATCATGAAGCTTCCTAGGAAGAGCAGGGGAGCTTTGGTCACTCCTTGGATGGCTCAGCTTTCCCTGGAGTAGGGGGAAAGTGAAGCTGTGAATTCAAAGGTTAAATTTCA